GCAAATGGCAGTAAAATGGACAATTTATTACTGTCCTTGGTATGTGCAATTGAGGCAAACCCCTGCTCATCTAACCTCTGTCCTAGAGCTTGTATGTGAGGCTTGTGGGAGGGTAGGCACAGGCAGTATCTAGTTGGCAGAACTTGGAGACACTATTAAACCCTCTTTAATATACAAACAGCCTCCCCTGTCTGCTAGGCAAGAGTTCGTCAGCTTCAATGTCAATGTTGATGACTTTGCAAAGCTTAGGCTGGCAATACATATATTAGATTTGGAAATCTTACCTTTTCTTTTTTAATTGGGTGACACAGGTTATTCATTATGAGCAGTCTTCTAAACTATTATTATCCTCATTAGGTTCATTGAAAGTAGAAAACAATCCCCCAAACCAAACCCTAAAAAAATCTAAAGAAATTAAAACTTAAAAAGGCAACTTCCTTAGAGGTGGTAAGGTGACACCACTGCTGGGCTTCCTTCAGCAGAAGCTACACGTATCATTGGTAGCACTCATGAAGGAGTGTTTCCATTGATCTCTAAGTACTGTTAAGTTTTCCACTGGGGAAGGGCCAACCCACTTAACACAGACAGACAGACAGAGAGAAAATCATCATGAGATGATTAGGTTAAAGGCAATCTTTCAGTGACATGGTTGCTGTCATGACTGACACTGCTTTTGATGCAAAGTGACAGATTTGGGTGCGGTGGCTGTGAAAGCTGAGGGAGGAGGATGGGCAAGCTATAGTTCAGCCTGCACAACTGCAAGACCAAACCAGAAAAACAATAGAATATGTAAAATGAACAAAAGCCAACATTCGAGCTCTTAGGGAGATAAGTGAGCAGGGACAGAACTCTTATCTGAGTAATCAAGATAAGTTAAGTCTGTTCTCTTTTTAAATGAATGAAAAGTCTGTGTTAGTTCAGGTTTCCTCCCCTAAACTTACAATGGTTATTCACTTTTTTGATGAACAAATTCTTCCTATTAACTGGAACCGTCTGAAAATAATTAAGATCATGAAATAGCAGATGTAAGTCATACTTCAATACAATGAATATTTCTGTATGTATTTATGTCAGTTCTTCCTTTGTGAAAAATGAAACAAGTGATCAGGCTCCATTTACCTATTTCATTAGGGCAGCCATTTTCCATCCTCTCTGCTTTTTTGTTTTTACCTTATACAGAGTAGACTTGTGTTCATTTTGGACCTTCCCCAGTCTTCAAGTCATGTTTATAATTTGAAGGCTATAATGAAAACATTGCCTTTAGAATCATATTTAGGAGGTTTTTTTTTCCATTTTTTTCTGTGTTTGATTGATTTCATGCTACATTTTAAATGGGAACTTATCCCCTCTCTCTCTGTGGTAGATCAGTCTGTATATGTTTACAGATGTAGATACAGACAGAATTTTTGATAAGATAACTTGTTTAAATTCATAAACATTCTAAATGGCAGAAATAAGCCTCAAGATCAGGAATGTAGTCTACTTTATAGAACAAAGTAGACCTAACTCTAGAATTGAAAATGATAGTAATTGTGACCTCCAAAAGATCATAGAAATCAAATTCTGATTAAAGCTCCAGGAGTCACATGGTGGACAATATCATTAGAACATGAAAAATTACTATGACACATTTTGCCTGTTAGATCAATAGCAGAAATTCTAATTCTATCACTCAGTTATAGCAAACGGAACAATATTGATGACACAGCTATGAAGTGGAAGGCAGACCAAAGCTTACCTACTGAAAATTGCACTTGCCATGTTTTATGGTTTTGAATGTGATGCTGCCAAGGCCCTGGTATGATTCACAAAATGACTTACTGACCACATCATTACTCTATACACAATACTATACGGATTACCCCATGTGCAATTAGTCAAAACAACAAATATGTCTTATCTCTGTGGTTGTTGTTGGTTCAGCACCTTTTACTAGACTGCATTTGGGGTATGAGCCAGGACTGCAGCTTCATCTAAAGGACGCCTATAAAGAGTTGCTCCCAAATGCACCCTTGTGGTGACTGGGAGAATTCTGGGACATTTGTCTGAGAGTCTTTGTTCTGGGCTGCAGCCTGAGAACTAACATGATGGCTGGCTTTCACTAGGGCAAGGATGTGAAAGATCCAGAGCAGGAAAACAAAACAGAAGTCACCATCTTCCAAAAACCTAACCTTGTATCTCACCATGCTTTCATAACATAACCATTGAAAATTAGCCTGTTAGGTTTATCCTATAGGCAAACAAAGAAGGTTGATACAAGAGTATGAATACCATGAAAAACTGTGTCATGTTCCGTACTGGCTACTACCAACATTTACCAATTTTTTCCAAGTTGAAGGTTTTTTTTTTTTTTTACCTTTAGTATTTAAGTTCTTCCCATAACCCTTAATACTCATTAAAAAAAAATAATAATTCTTCGCTTGTGAGTCAACAGATGTGTGGCTGGATCCAGATGTGTGGCTGGATCCAGATATGAAGGGCATAGGGCCAAGGGTCAGGTTCTAGTCTACCCAAAGAGGACTTGAAGAAATTTAGGTATTAATCACAGGATAAGAGGGAGTAAGGCTATCCCAAGGAAAAGGGGAACGGATGGTGGGAAGACCTAAGAGTCAGGAGCGATGTTTAGCATCTGCATCTATAAACCTTCCAGAGCACTCACAGATCATAGGTACATGGGTACAATGATTATTAAAACCCATTAAATATGAAGTTTATGATTGTTTCTATTTCACCAGGTTGGTCTCCTAGATTAACTTTGCTTTTCCTTGTAAGTGTACACAGTCACACTGATTTCCCCTACTCATTTGGCTGCTGCTGGAGATGATATCCTAATCAGGGTATACAGAACACAAAGGGCTAAACAGATTTCACAATTTATATCAATTTGTTCAATCTGTAATCCCACCTGATAATTAAATTCAAACTAAAATATTTCCTGCTTCTGATATACAAAAAAGAGTACCCTGAGGAAGGATTGTGTTAGTTTGACTCCTGCTTCTTGTAGGCACTGCATCAACTGTTAGTATGAACACTGTGGAATTAACATGAAGTTCCTTAATGCAGGGACTAGAATTCAGGCTATTTCAGAAAGATGCTTGATGTATAACCTTACTAGCACAAAATAATCTGATTTATTTATTCTAGGAAGAATTTTATAATAAATCACTATATATAGCAATGGAAATGAGCTAATGGTCATACATTAAATTAATTGTTTGGCTCTGGATTTCAAATTTTAATTTTAGAGAGTTTTGAACATATATCAAAGTAAGTAGAATACTAACCATCACATTCAAACAGTCCTCAACCCATATGAATTCACCCACATCAACATTCCTATATTATTTTGATACTTATTCTAGACACTGTATCTTATCTATGGATATTTTATATTTCTAAAGAATAAGCAGTTACCTTTCTAAAATAAAATCACAGTACAGGTTTCTCCTGGGGGGGGGAAGAAAAAGAAACCCAATATTCCTTTGTTGTTTAACACTTATATTTCTATTCTTTTGTTTATTTCCTTTTTATAAAGGATAAATAGTTAGAAATTGATAGCTTTTAATCAGGGATGGTTTTACTTACTGGAAGAAACTTGGCAGTAGTACAATTATTGTCCTTATAACTGTGGGTGCTACTGGCATCTACTGGGTTAATGCAAGGCTCATACTAAAGATGCAGGGCAATACCTACAGAATATGTAAATTCTTGTTTCGAAATGTCAGTAGGTGCCACTGTTGATATACACAGTTAAGGCAGAAGGAAAGGTGGGGGGGGGGGAGTTAGTAGTGGCAAACAGTAGCTATAATGGATAATAACATTAATAAGAGAAATAGGAAATACTCAGACATCTTTCTAATAGCCACACTAGTGACTAAATGGGTTTATAATGGAAAAGGCATTTTCAGCCATATAGTTTTCCAATCAAAATGTTTAATAAGTCAGATGAAACTTATTTTCTTCTTTTTTACTAATTTATTTTATGCAAGCATACTCATGCCATAACACACATGTGAGGGCTAGGGGACAAATTCTTGGCGTCTACTATGTTTCCAGTACATGTGTTCTGGAGACTGAACTCGTGATTATCAAGCTTGACTACAAATATCCTAACCTGCTGAGTCACTCCACTGGACCCTCACATTTTCAGGGTTCAAGATCAATAGTCTGATAATGGAATATGTGTGTCAGGTGGAAATCAAGTAGCCCAGACAGAAACAGCACTTCTTGCTTGGGCAGCAGACTCAAGGGAGGTGGTGAACAAAATGTTTGCCAAACACAAGTACAATCCTGGATCCGCAGTGTAAGAACAAATTAGAAGTGTTTTTAACTGGTGAATGATAATATGTAGGGAATGGATTTCTTTTGTGTGAGAGACACACCGAATGCTGAATTCTAAATCTTGTTGGCATATTTCAAGATGAAAAATGATATCAGTTACTTTAATTCAGACAGAGTTCTGTTCATTATCCTCTACATAGAACCCCTGGCAATAATTTACCTAGTAGGACAGTAGTTCATGCAGATCAAAGCAGTGCTATTTAAGTGTGTCCAGAGGGCAGGTTTTAGCTCTGTGCCTTCCCCTTTACAGGAAAAGGGAGGAAAAAAGTTTTGCTTTGTTTTTCCTGAGAGACAAAACATGCTTAACTAAATAAATACTTTAAGCAAGTCTAACACTACTGAAAACTCACATGGATTCTTCCAACTATTGAGGAAGTTCTTCCAGACCACAAATCTCAAATCTGAGGGGCATAGAGAACAAAAATGTAAAATGTTCATGTGAACAGTACCATACTTTCCCTTCCATTAAACCTGAACATGAACTAGGCTCCAGAGAGGGCATGGCTGAGGCATGTGGCAATTGTGACAGAGCTGTGCCTTGCCTGCTTCAGCTCGCAGACCAGACCGGTAAAGCCCAACTCAGAAATCTCAGGCAATTTGTGTAGAAAGCTCCTCCTCTTCTGCAGCCTTCTTCTCCATTGGTAAAATTCTTTTGCAGGGTCATGTAGGGATCCCACCCCTTCTCTGTGTTTTCACTCTGAAGCTCTATACAACTTTACACCTGAATGAACGCCAAGCCCCTGTGGATATATAAAGGGAACCTTGGGGAGGAATTCCACAGTCAATAGTGCAGAAGCAGAGGGAAAGAACTGAGCGGCTCCTCAGCCAAGCAAATCCTCCACTCAGCATGCTTCTCCCTGCCAGTCATCTCTATCTCATTCCACTAATGTGCATCCTAATGAAAAACTGTTTGGCTTTTAAAAATGATGCCACAGAAATCCTTTATTCACATGTGGTTAAACCTGTTCCTGCACACCCTAGCAGCAACAGCACGTTGAATCAAGCCAGAAATGGAGGCAGGCATTTCAGTAGCACTGGACTGGATCGCAACAGTAAGTGTGTTTTACTTGTACAGGTTTTCTCTCTCTCTCTGTTTTTTTTTTCCTTTTGGGGAGCATCAGCCCCCATTCGTGTAGAATGATTTTATTGTATACTACTCTGAACCATGTATATTTTGAAAAAAAAAAAAGAAAGAAAGAAAGAAAAGAAAAAAGAAAAAATCTGGGAGCAATCTGCTGCATGCATAGGCTGGTGTTCTTTCCTGGCTAGTGATTTTAGAGTTAATATAATTAAAACGGTGGCTTGATAATGCAAGCACAGATGTGGTTTGTCCAATGCCCACTAAAAAGCCTATCTATAAATTCAGCTGTTGCTTCTTTACAACTCTGCAAAAGGAGAATTCTTTAAAGTGTTGTTCTGCACAGTTTAAGCTCATGCTGCCTTACACGTTGTTAATTTCAGAACATATACAAATTTGGTGAAGTGACTAATAGTAACTAAGTAGAACTATGTATAGGGAATCACAAAGGATGAAAGGAAGCGTTCAGGCAGCATGAAGTTGCTCACACAGATGTCTAAAATATGTCTTATTCAGAGAGGTGTAAAGCTTTGATGGTGTTTGTTGTAAAGGAGATCTATCCTACAAAATGTTAAAGAATCGTGTTTATCAAAAAAGTTTTTATTCAACAGATTGAATTGAGGTAATTGCATGTTTCTGTGAAACACTGAGTGCATATTTGTAACTGAAGATTTTAAATAATTGTATGCTAATGTTTAGCCCAAGGAGTATTTCCTTACCCTTTTCGGTTTGCTTAATTGACATGCCAAGTGAGGGTATTTCTTCCTCTCACTTTTGCTTTATTCTCTTCCTTTAAGAGTTCACATTAGTAACCAGCTTGAAGAAAGACAGGAAATGTAGTGTAGGAAATCTTACACAAATATTTGCCCCTCCTCCTTAAACTTCATTCAACTATGAAAAAGAGTTTTTTGACCTTTGAAAAAAGTCAAAGCAAATATGAATGGTAATGTCTCTCTAAGAAAACCAAAGTGTTTTCACTGTGTGGAGATGGTTGATTTCAGGACACAGGAAGTGTGTGATCAGTGTTAGGTTACTGAGCAGTGTGGTAGCTATTCATTGTCAGCAAGGGAAACGTCACCACAGAAATGCCCAATCTTATACATCCAGGAACAAAAGCCAGGCAAGTCAAAAATCTCTGTGGCTGCTTCCAGGTGCAGACTTAAGGCAGCTGCAGTTAGGTGAGCTGGAGTCAGCAGCAGGCAAGCAGCACAGTGTCCAGCCAAATGTTAACCCTTTCATTTCAGTCTACAGCTGAAGCTCTGTAAGCACAGATGCACACAGGCATGGCATACAGCTATGTGCTTCCTTTAGGATATGAGCCTTAACTCAGACACTCTGCGGTTCAGAAATGGAGCAAAACTCCTGACTCACCATCCATGTTGAGATTATTTTCAGAGCCGAAAGGACAATTTCACCAGCTTTTATTAGTTTTATTTTTATTAGTTCATCAGCCTATGTTTTAAAGCCTTTTTTTCCTGGTTAATAAGACATGATTTCTTTTCAAGTTTGTCTTAAGCAATTCTCGTTTAGATAACAAAGGAACAAGAAGGAAAACTTAAAATATTTTAATATTAAATTTTGTTTTAATTACACAAGGCACATGACCAGAAACAGCCAATTAGAGAACCTACTTATCAAATCCAAATAACTGAAACAAAAAACCGTCCATGCCTGATATTCGGGAAGTGAACACTGTGGTTCCTTGTGCAGTTGTAAATCAGACATGTTAGGTATTTTTCTGTCATAAAACTCATGGAAATGTAGCCAAGTTGTTATGGCAACCATACGTTCCTAATTTAGGGGCTTTTATATTCTTTAAATATTGAGTTGTGGTGGCATTTTGCATTTCAAACATTTTACTGTTCGTTTTCTTTTTAAACATAGCCTGGGAATTTATGTTTAGAACATAGTTATTAAGTTTGATATGCAAAATGTTAAGGGTTGTACCCATATGCATGTATGACCGTGCAGCTGAATTCTATAATTGAAATAAAATATTACAGCATGCATATGCACTGTACACAACATTTAAATACTTTCCACATTTTCTCAAGAGATTTTTGAAAAAACTTAATTAAAAGCACTTGCAGACATTAACCAATATGACCCGTGAGAACAAGAACATTAAAGTGTACTCTTTGAAGAGTGGGAATGAGACTGGGAGAATGTGACTTTTAAATACTTTAATAAACAATGGGTTAATGAAATACATGAAAAAGAATGATCTCTTCCCCTCCCCTCCAAAATAGTTGCGGGCTGTACATATCCTGGTCATTTGGATGTAAGTGCCTTCCAACCCTCCCACAGATTTGCATTGTGAAAAGAAAAGTACATAGTCATTTCTTTGGTGGTGTCGTGCAATTTGATTTTTTCTTTCTCTGGTCACTGCAAATTACTTAAAACAAGAACAAAGCCCCCAAACACCTTCAGTTGCTTTCTGTCTCTCATGCAGTTCTGTCCTGTTTCCTGTAGGTCGAGTTCAAGTGGGCTGCCGGGAACTGCGCTCCACCAAATACATTTCTGATGGCCAGTGCACCAGCATCAGCCCTCTGAAGGAACTGGTGTGCGCGGGCGAGTGCCTGCCCCTGCCAGTGCTTCCCAACTGGATCGGAGGAGGCTATGGAACAAAGTACTGGAGCCGGCGGAGCTCCCAGGAGTGGCGGTGTGTCAACGACAAGACGCGCACACAGAGAATCCAGCTGCAGTGTCAGGATGGCAGCACACGCACCTACAAAATCACGGTGGTTACGGCCTGCAAGTGCAAGAGGTACACCCGCCAGCACAACGAGTCCAGTCACAACTTCGAGAGTGTGTCACCCGCCAAACCCGCCCAGCACCACAGAGAGCGGAAGAGAGCCAGCAAATCCAGCAAGCACAGCCTGAGCTAGAACTGGACTGACTAGAAAGCATCTGCTACCCAGATTTGATGGCTTGGAAGACTCGAGCCTGCCATTGCTCTTTCCTCACTTGAAAGTATACGCTTTCTGCTTTGATCAGGCCCAGCAGGCTGTCCTTCTCAGGACCTTCTCTGGGACTAGCTTTTCCTTTGCAAGTTTCTCAAGATGTAATGAGTACAGTTTGCAGCGAGAGCCAGGCATCCTGTCGTTTCCATTCTTTAAAAGCACCTGATGCTGTTTAAACATCCTCAGTATACAGTTTAAAAGGCACCATTCCCTAGCCCACCCCCACCCTTCCCAAACAAAACCCCTTCCAACCATAAAAGTTCAGTGAAAAAAATTTATCTTCACAAAACATTTCAGAAAGGGGCTTTTCCAGTAATTTTCATGGGAATAGTTTGGCAGCCAGGGGCTACCTTGCTTTGAAAGAGAGGCAAACCTTGTGACATTTCACTTCAAAAAAAAAAAAGCCCTGTAGCGTTTTACAGTCCCAGTGTGAAATTATACCCTGCATGTTGACCTTGCTTGGAATGGAATGCCAGCAATGCATGGCAGCAGCTAATAAGCAAAGCGAATTATTTATTTTTCAATGTTGTTATTTAATGAGCTTTCACATGTGATTTTTTTCCAAATGTTAATTTTTTTTATGTTTTGAAGCTGTTTCATGTACCTAAATATTACCCAATATGATTTGTGGTTGGTCTAGAAATATGAAAGTACATGTAGATATGTAAAATAAGTATAAGTATTTTTAGTCTCCTTATATATTACTCATTTCATCATAGACTTTGTCTGTAGCATGGTTCTCTGTAAAGCTGAAATATGTAACACTTTATTATTTAGTCCATGCAATCAGAAGGCAGTTTGACCTTTAATGCCATTGACTTCTTTTCACAAATATAATTATGGCTAAATGTTATTGTCCTTGCCTCTAACACGTATAAAAAGGTACATGCTTGCAAACATTGTAAAATAAAGTTGTAAGTTTAACTGGCTCTTTTTGTTGCTGCTGGGGATCAAAATTATGGTCAGACAAGTGCTGAGCCTTCAGACCCAGAAAACTGCCCCCCCCCAGTCACATTTAAGCTTTGATAGACTGCTTGTATTTATAGGGGGAGGGGAGAGAAGGAGGGAAGAGGGATGGCTGAGTTGCAAGGAGCACTTCCAGATATCTGGGTGGGAGAGGGCATTGAACTCAGTTTTTTGTTTTCCAGATCATCTCCATGTGCAGCTAAGTTTGAGAAGAAAGGAAGAGTAATTGATGGGTACAACAGCTTATCTTGGGGAACTTTGAACACTCTTACATGGCCCCAAGCCACAAAAAGAAAAGAAAATTTCCAAGCTAATTTTATAGTTTCCTCAGTTTGGTATACTGTTAGACTAAGTAATATAATGCTAGTCTTGGATGGGTTCACCTGGTTCATACTGGGGTAACAACACATATGTATACAGGATGCTGTCAGAGCTGAAATGGAGACAAGAAAAGAGCTTCAGACTACATAATAACACTAACTGTTATCAGTGGTAAACTAATTTACCTTCCAGATCTTAAACTGTGATACAGTATATCATATTAATGCATGGGACATTCACAAGTATTTTACTATACCAAAATGTGTCATCTCATACCTGTCTTATTCGCTAAATCACAGGAACTTGCCCTGACAATGGCTTTTCAGACCCAAGAAGACCCTGCCTTTCACTAATAAAACCCTGAGGGAAGGTCTCAGTAGAGATAAAGCAAGAGCAAATTCTGATTATTAGGACACAGGACATGGAATAAAGTAAGCTCACAAACAAGATTTCCAACGGTCTCCACTGAACCGAGAATTGGATCTATTTTTCATATTCATATTCAATTTGCAGTCCGTATTTAGCCATGTTACAGTGGTGACACGCTCACTGGGTGGTATTTAATGCTAAATGAGAGGAAAAGGTCAGCAGTTGGAAAGGCCTAGGGTACAATTGCATTCAATGAAGAAGAAATGAAAAGTCAACAGAAAGGGCTGGGTTTGGTTGTTATCTTTAGAAAAACGTGTCTGAACTGCTTTTTACATTTGAGATATTTTATCAAACAGTTAACTCAGGTTGATGAGCTGTACATAATTTTATCAGCACCTTAGTAACTATCACTTCAAATTGATGATAGACTGTGATACTTTTAGCACAGAATGTTATCTAGTTTCTCTCAAAATATCTACCCCCAAAGACGTTTACTATTAAATTTATTTTGGTTATTATGGATAAAGGGACTTTTTTATAAAACTTTGAAATCAGCTTTATTTGATTAACATTTACTTTTTTAAATTAATTTTTTACATTCTAATCTCAGTTCCTCCTCTCTCCTCTCCTCCTGCTCCCCCCACTCCTCCTCCCCACCTCCCATCTGCTCTTTGGAGAAGATAAGGCTTCCCCTAGAAAGTCTACTAAGTCTGCCTCATTGAGGCAGAACCAAGTCACCCCTCCACCCCCATACCCCTGTGTCTAAGCTGTGCAAGGTATCTCTCCATATAGATGGGCTCCACTCAGTCAGTTTGTGCATTAGTGTTAGATCTTGGACCCACTGCCAGTGGCCTCATGTATTGTCTCAGCCACACCATTGCCACCTGTATTAAGGGAGTCTAGTTCGATCTTATGCAGGTTTCCCCACTTGTCAGACCAGAGTCAGTGATCTCTCACTAGCTGATTCTGTGGGTTTCCCCATCATGGTCTCAACTCCTTTGTTCATATGCATAAAGGAACTTTTAAAGTAGTTTCATAGTATGTAGATGGGTACATCGATGCTTATAGACATGTTGGAGAGTTATACTTAAATGTGTATCCATAATGGTAGGGAAGAATAATTGCATATGCAAGTGGATAATATGTATATGCTGCACTTAAATATAGTCTTTAAAGTGTCTACTTGTAGGCCAGCAACATGGTGCCTGTTACCAAGTCTGGTGGTGTGAGTTCAATCTCCAGGGCCTACATGGTAGGAAGAGAGAAATCACTTCCATAAGTGGTCCTTTGACTTCTATCTGCGCTTGTCTGCATACCCACAAACATACACCAAATTAAATAACTAAATGGCTTTAAATCTACTTGTAAAAATTAATATTTTAGTTGCTAGTCACTATTTTTTTGCTAACTACATTAATTGTTACTTATGAGTCTGCATTTCATAGTGGAGTTAAAAGGACTAGAATTTCAAGGCTATTTTCAGTTACACAGGTAGATTGATGCCTATCTCAAAACAGTAACAAAATGTAACAAAAGTTAATAATTGGAACACTTTGTTAATCATCTTTATTTTACTGTCTATTTTTTAAAATCCATCAAATTTAGTATGTAAATATGCTTAATTAAAAAGAATGTCTGGTGGAGATGAAGCTCAGTTCATACGGGGCTGGTCCAACATGCACAAAGTTCTGGGCCCAGTCCCCAACACTACAGAAAAACTGGGCATGGAGATGCATATCTGTAATATCAGTGTTAGCTAGCAGAGGCAGGAAGATGAGAAATTTAAGGTCATCCTTGGCTACATAGTGAGTTTGAGGCCGCCTGTGCAACATGAGATTCTACCTCAAAAAACAAACAAACAAACAAACAAAAAAACAACTAAAAACAAACAAACTCAACCAACCAACCAAACAAAAAAATCCACTTAGTTCTTTCTTGTCCTTTCTTAAATGGGTAAAGGATAATGGAATATTTTATTGTGTAATATGACATATCTATCAAATGTGGCATTTTTATTGGACACATTTAATGTTTGCACAAAGAAGTTGTAAGTGAAGCAAATAGTATCTAGCAACAGAGATTTTAAAAGCTTATATAATATTGAAAAAATTAAAGTGTTTGATAGTTTCCTTTTATTATGTTTGATTTTTTTTACAATCATTAGGAATCTTTTGGTATTAAAATTAGTTCTTTTTTTTTAATCTGATACCATTTGGATCATATTTAAATTTCAGCAACAGCTATTAGTTTTAAAATAGTAATTCATTCCATACCCTAAACTCTGCACTTAAGAACTTTCCTACTAACACAATCTTAGTAAGAAATGAGTCATGTAGGTGGCCACCAGTAAATGTTTTAACGGATAAAGAAAATCTGAATATTTATTCAACAACAAAGAAGAAAAAAATGGGTCAGTGAGATGGCTAAGTATGGGGTCACCAAGCCTGACATCTGGAGTTGGGTCCCTGAAACCCCGAAGTAAGCAGCGTTCCCCCTTGACTTCTGCTTCAGTTCTGTGTCTGGGTTCCTGACCTGCTTGAGTTCTTGTCTTGGATTCCCCCAGGATAGACTATGATCAGGTCATGAAAGCCAAGTAACCCTTTTCTCTCCAAGGTGCTTTTGCTTATGGTGTTTGTCACATAAATAGAGACAAAGAGATTTATTTATTTTCTGTGTGTACATGTATGTGTCTGCATGTGAGTATGGACACATGCATGTAGGTACACAAAAGAGGGTGACAGATCCCTTGGAGATGGAGTTGAAGATGGTATTAAAACACCTGATGTGAGGGCTGACAATTGAACTGGAGTCCGTTGTGAGAATCTAAAGCACGTCTGAGGCAGCAGTGCAGCCAGCCTTCTGTTTTAGTTTTAATTGTGCACATACACATGTACAGTCATGTGGCCAGCACACATGGTCGTCAGAGCATAACTTCAGGCATCATTTCTCACCATCCATCTTGAGCCCCTTGTTTGCCACTGTATGCACTAATCTGGCTGGCCTGCAAGCTTCTACCATCTCCACCTCCCATGGGAGCACTGAGGTTACAGACACATGCTTCGGCTCAGGCTTTCTGGAGATCCAAACTCCGTTCCTAACAGTTGCTTAGAAAAGGCTTTACCCACAGAGAAATGTTCCCAACACAAACTCTTCTTTGAGTTGCTCTGTCAATGTATTATACAACATCAATGAAGCAAGAGTTTAATTAATACAAGGGAATGTATAGTGCAAAAATTACACATGCCTCATGACTTTGTACAAATAATATACATAGTTTTAAAAATCATGTCAAGTTTTTGGTGTAACCCTGATAGAAACCCAGGAGTTCAGTGGGTAGATGACTTCCAGAGGAGAGAAGCCTTTTCCTCAAGAACAGAAAGGGACAGCTGCCAGCATCTTTCTACTGGAACTTGTCTTCAATTCAAATTTTCTGTCTCCATTTCTGAGCCAAGCACACATTTGGCAAGTAGCAATCTTTGTGACAACCACAGAGAAAGTCTGCTGCAGTAGACAACCCAGCAGGCATTCTGCTTACTGATGTCTGTAAATCATCCC